GGGCAGGCCCTTATAGACCCAACTGATTTGTTTGCATTTCCAATCCTGTGTCTGTATAATATATATTGTCCTGTCTAGGGCCTAGGAGGAGTTTGTTTATTAAAAGAGAAAGTAAAACTGTTTCCTTACAATTCCCCTTTTCAGTCTTTGAAAACATATCCAAGACAGCCTTGGAATTTTAAATATGGGGGAGCAGCAATGTTGTAGGGCTGTCCTGACTAAAACCAAACACTGAATAATGGTTGTGTGTGCAGAGATCTGGCTCATTTTATCTAAACCCATGGGGCAAGATTGTCCAGGGGACATCCAAAACACAGCTTAGAGGTGCATCATTTATTCACTGGTAGACACTACAAAATATTTTCCTGTGTGTTTGGGATGCAGTGATCTCACACTGCTGAAATCCCTTAATCACATGAATTACGTAAAGCAAGATTTAATTATTGTCTAAGGTCAGGCTGGAAACTACAAATAAAATCGGTGTGCAGCTTCAGTAATTAATGTTAATATCCGCAAAACATAAAGCTGTGAAAACTGATTACGATTTGGTGTTCTCTAAAACATACAGTTAAGTATTAAGATAATTTATTTTTAAAGTAATGCTTCCATAAGATGCTTTATGAAACTTAACCAGACTGAACTTCCAAACAAGCTGTCATGAACCATATGTTCATAAAACATTTCAAAACTCTTTAAAATCAACATCTATTGATTCCAGCTACCTCTAAGGAACAATTTAACACCACTTTTGAGGTTTTTAGTTTTCTCTAAGTACAAGATTCTTACATGCTGCAGGTAGGCACAGAATTTACTGTGGGCCCACAACAAGGAGTGCAGCATTTTCTACCAATAAGTAAATAATCAAGACTTTGTCTACTGCCCATTCCTTTTCTTATTTATGACCTGAGCAGCATCCAGCAGCAGTGATTTCAGCTCTCCTGTAATCACATACTAGGAAATAAAATGCACTGCATTGTGCACAGGCATCCAAGTACACCTAAACATTAAAACTGTACTGAAATTCACATTTTTTTAAGAAGAAGGGAAGAATAAATGAAATGAATGAATGAAATAAAAGAATGAATGGAAGCAAAATCTATTTCTGGACTTTTTCCATGGTGAAGCTTGACAAATGCATGCTTCTTGGAACACAACTGTTAGTAATATTAGAGTTCATGTATGATCATTGGTTTTCAGTTATTCAGTTAGTTGCTATGGAGAAAGAAAAGCATTTGTTTGATATATTAAAACCTCTAGCACTTTTCAGTGTCTACAGTTCTAAATTCTTAAACCAATTTTCTCCAATAAATCTTCCCTTTTATACACATGAGGGTCATCAGGAAAAGATTTCTATACCTGGTGCTTGCAGGCAGTGAAGGAAGTTAAGTTTATTTCCCTTTATGTAGGAGAATTCAAAATAAGTTTTTGTTGTGAAAATTGGTTACAGCATTCAAAGTGTCAGGATCCTCTTGCTTCAGAGGAACTTCTCACTGGATGCAGGAATATCCCAAGCCCAGCCTGCTCCAGGGTCAACCAGGAGCTGATTTCAAACTCAGTTCCAGTTCAAACTCTGCTTCAAGTTCAATAAAATCTGGCGCACACATTTGTACCTAAGATAATTTTGTTATGGAAATCAGCAGAGCACCATCAAAACTGAAAAGTGTTCAGTCCCAGGATTTTTCTTGCTTGCAAAGTCAGTGGCATAAATGAAATAAAGACTGAAAAAATCCTGCACAGGCAGCAGCCACAGATGACTCCATCAGATCATTCCCAACCCCAGCACGGCAAACGCCTTTGAGGAGGTTTGGTTCTCCCCATCACACTCTGCAGGCTCTGCTTCCTTGATTTGATCGCATTAATGCATTCACCTCAAAAAAACATCTATGCCTACATTTGGTTTGGTGCCCAGCTGTAAAAAGAAAATATGTCATAAATTTTAGAGAACATTGAACCTGCTGGTGTTGAGCAAGATGATGCTTTTCAATTACGTGTGATTTACTCACCTGCCTCACAGACAACTTCATTTTACAGAGATGTCCTAAATCTTAAAATCAATTCTAACAACGCATTAAGAACTCTCACTCCAGCCTTTGAAGTATTTTCTTTTTTATGATTCCCCATGCCTTAAATACTTTTCCCCAGTCATTAAATTATACAAAATCAAAACAAACCCTTCACTACAGATCACTTTTTCCCCCTCTCTATGACAAATTTCAAAGGTAACTTCTTACCCTCAGACCAAAATTTAAATGTCACCAACTTCTGATTCTACTCTTTGCCTTGTATTTAATGAAAAAAGGACAGGATTGTCAAATTTACATGAAAAATTATTTCAATATGCTTTCATAATTTTAGAGATGTAATATTAACTCATATGAATTAAATATGCCAATTTTAAAAGGAATGTTGGAGTACAGCTTCTACAAATTTGAATAAGAGCCAGTCATTTTTTTAATCAAAACCATGTTAAATATTCATTCATGTTTCACTGTGAGCACTTATAATAAAGTAAACCCTTCAGTACAGCAAAATCCTTGAATAATCATAGAATCAATTTTATTGCATAAAACTAAGCCAAATTTTTAGCCAATTTAGGCAAAGGCTATGTCCCAATGATGGCCAGTAGTAAAGAGTTCATGTTAAAACACAAGTTATTGTCAACAACAATACAGAAAAACAAAACTCAAAGCAAAGCCAGGTTGTAAATACAAACAGTGTAATGACTAAAAGAAAAAAACATCCAGCTGATACTACAATATTACAGTATTTTAAACTCTTAACATGCCTGTAAGAATGGAATAGGAAATATATTCTGGCACTGAAAGAGATTTTAAGCCCAAAAGACAGTGTGTCACATTGTCTAAATGAATGTACAAGGCGCACACATCCCCTGGCTGTCCAAACATTTCAACAGCTCCTTATGACTCCCACCTACCAAACAATAATAACAATCTCTTAATTCCTCCTGGATCCCACACATTATTACAGAGAAAATCATCCTCTATTGCCATGGTACAGTCTTGAGACTGCAGGAGCTGCAGGTAGGGTTACCTGGCTACAGCACTGCCAAAGATTTAACTGCTGAATATTTAAAATTATGGTGAACTAAAAGAAGCTAAAATGTCTCCACTGTCTTTAATTTTCAATTTTTGCTTTTGTTTCCAAGTACAAACGTTTCAGGCATTTAACCAAAATGTCCTTTTCAATAATCTCTGCAGTAAACTACAGCTTCCACATGGACATACTTTGTGTGTTACATGAAATAAATATTCATTAGCAATTTTGGACTGGGAAAAATTAAATAAAGAAAGTTAAGCAGACTTCTGCAAAACTGAACTTTCTGCTAGGAAATATCAGTTTAAGTGGTGGCAAACCAAGCATTCAATATCCCATAGGATCTCCATTTCTCTGCTTTGCTCAGTGTAGAAAATTAAAATGTACAACACCATCAGTCAACAGACTGTGCTTCAAAAGATTTTGCAGCTATGAAGCAGAGAATATCACAGAGTTTTGGCTGAAAACTCAAGTAACGGGGACTCTTTAAGTGAATTAATCAGCAGCATGAGAAATAACCAACTCCACAGGAGATTTTGTTGTAAATCAGTGCTACGTTCACATTTTTCAACCAGTGCATCAAAGATTCAGGCAGGAATGCCAGGCACAATTCTATGATTCAAAAAGCCTCTTTTCCTAAGAAAACAGTGGAATTTGGCATAAAGAGAATTAAAAGGAGCAAACCAAGGGTACAGGGAAAGAAGAAAACCACGTTTTTCATTCATAAGGTGTTGTCCTATCCAGAAGTGCCAAAGGAAGATTTTCCACCACAGAGCCCAGGTTACAAACCTGCTGGTGGCCAAAGCCACTCTGCAGAGCCAAGAAGCGACCACTGAGCTCACAACACACACCTGACACAACCCACTGGTTTTACTGGTGAGGCCCAGGGCAATCATGGCCAAAACCCATCAATCATACCAAAAAATGCTGCCAAATCTCTGAGTCCTCTGAAGAACTGAGGCCAGGTAAGATTGATTTCAGAGGTAGCTGATTATGGCTAAAGTTGGACATACCTACAACAAACTACTTTAAACCATTTTTAATCTTCTTATTTATACACAAACTGCTCACAGGATTTAACATATTAGTTGAGGGTGGTCAACACGCTTGAAAAAGACCAAACAATTACAAGAGTACACAAATAATGGAGTTTGGGGTCATTTCAATTTTAATAATTAACACAGGCAATAGTGATGGATCATTGTTCCTTAAAGTTGCTCCTCATTAGGTCATCAAAGTATTAAAATACAGAGCATAGAGTTAAATTTGCTTTAAAAGCAAAAGCTTTGGCAACAATTTGATGATGACCTGGGGACTTTATCACATGGAAGTGCTGGGGATAAAACATCCTATGTTCCAAAGCCTCTGAACAAGCATTGTTGAGAACCTCAGGCAGAAGTCGCACTATTACGACTCTTCAAAATTAAATTAATTCAGTTTTTCATTGTGGGAACATCATTTTAAATGGAAAATTAAGGCAAGTAATTCTTCCCTGCTACCCAGAGTAAAAACATTTTCTGCACCTCAAAAGTTAGTAATGCACTTTTCTGGACCATAATAAGAAATATATCACAAGGACATTACCACTCATATGAAAAAAAAAATCAGAGAAATTACTTTAAAAACACACACTATAAGAAATAGGGGAAATTTAAGTAGCAGCCACCTCTCCTACAAGACAACTAGAACTGAAAATTACAGGAAAACGTGCACAGTCAGGTTTCCTATTTACTCTCAATGAATAGTGGTACTTAAAATAAAACAGATATCAATTCTACATTTATCTTCAGCTAAGTAAAACAGCTAAAAGAAAATAAAATTCCTATCAAATTCTTTGCTGTCACAGATTGCCAGTAAATGAAAACATTATCATTCTCATGCTGCTGAAAATTACAAGCCAATAGGTTCTCTATAAAAGATCATCAATCCATTTTGACACCACTCACCCCATTGGAGAGGAGCCAACTGCAGATGCTCCAGGACCAGCTGATTCAGAACCCCTTCCACACTTGCTTCCCCGTCACGCTTCAAGGAAGGGTAAGTTGGAATTAAGGAAAATTTTCTTTCAGAGAGGAAAAAGGTATGTGACATGCACAAGTTTTATTATTGCAAATCAAAACTGCAATCTACAGATTCCTTACTATGGTTTATTAACCCATAAATTGACTGACAGTAAAAGTACAGCAGTTGATATCTTCTGAAAATAAAAATTTAATTCCACTGAGGAGTGGTAAAGTAAAGGTAAAATGTACTTGAACCATAATAAAACACAAGGGTAAAAAAGTGTGGGAGCTGCAAAAATGCAAAACCCTTAAGTATGTGGTGCAGGATGAGAATTCAGAATGATAAATCAGGAACAATCTGAAAACAAAGAGGTTAAATTTTACAGGGCAACAGGAAACAGAACAAATGTCTGCCAGGATAGCCCTGACTGCAGACATGGTGCCAGTTCCATGGAATGTTGGACAGTGACAGTGTCATTCCTGAGGGCAAACATCAGGTCAGAACCACAGGCACAGAATCTGCAAGCTTCCCTTTCTACCCTGCATGAGCTCAGAAACAGGCCCAGATTGAAAAGAGAAGAAATTAAGAAATTCTTTTTACTCTTAAAGACAGCAGAGCACTGAAATAAACTGCTGTGGACAGTAGAATCTCCTTCAAAAGGGCTTCAAAACAGGTTACACAAGTGCTAAAATAAAAGCATAGACAATATTCCATGTCATGCAAAGCCAGTTTTATCCACCTAAATTAATAATAATTTCGTGTGATGAGTCAATCAAGACAACATTTATTTGTAACAGGAAGAGCACTGGATTTCTTTTTTCTAATTCCCTGACTGCAGAAAGGCACTGGATTCACGGGGATTGGAAGCACATGCAGATGTCAGCACCATCTTGTATCCAGGCATGTGTCCCACCATAATTAAGGAATAAGCTCCTAGTGAGATTCATCAAGATTTCAACCAACTACTCCAAAAGTACTGGAACCCTGGTCCTCAAAAATATATCAAAAAATAAAAGAACATCTGAGCTTTTATCAACAGATTCTAAATGTGATCAGTCCCTTTTCTGTAAACTCTGGAGACAGACACACAGCATCTGACTGCTGAAGTATAGATTCACCTCTGTCAGTTAAAAGAAAATTAACAAGCACTGCAGATAACTAATTTTTACCACAGGACATAATCTTGCAGAGTCTCCAGGAGATTTAAAGAAAAGTCCTGAAAGCTCAGAACAAAAGAAAATATAACAGTGATTGAGACTCAAGAGCTCAGAGATGATAGAAAAAGAAAATCAATACCAAGTGCAGGATTCTTGCCATTATTTTTTCAAAATATTCTCATTATGCCCTGAAAAATGTCATAAATAGCACTTTTTTTTCTCCTAAAAAGACCACAAATAACAAATTCACAAAGCCCAAAGAGTCTGAAAGCTGTAAATACCATTAAAGAAAAGCATCTATTTGGAAAACTGAAGGCAGCAGAATATCACCTTAGAATAGTGCTGCTGCTGAAAATGAGACTCAGAACACCAGCACAACTCAATAATTTCCATAAACATACTAGAGGGTAGAGAATAGTTTTAATTATTTCACAGAAACAGCAAATAAATAATTCTGTTATCACATCTTTAATCTAAGGACTGTAAGCGAAAGAAAACACTAATAAAAAGGCAGTATTTAAAAGATGCTTTAAAACAGAGTGGCTGCCATTAACTGTAACATTAAACTAAATTTAATGTAATTTACTTACAACAGAATCACAGTGGTGCCTGGAATATCACAAATTTTCACTGTTTAGAGCTTCATGGAACGCTTAATGTCTCAACTAACAGTACAAAATTACTATAAAACAGGTGATTCTCCCTTCTTTATCGTTGGTGAATGCTACCAAAGCAGATCCATGTATTCAGAGGTAGAATATTACCCCTGGAACATAAAACCACAGGAGGCAGTGAGGCACATCTGGGGTGCTGTGTCCATTCAGGGCTCCTCAAGGACAGGAGAGATGTGGAGCTCCTGGAGCAGGACCAGTGCAGGACAACAAAATGAAAGGACTGGAGCATTTCTCTTGCAGGGAAAGGCTGAGGGAGCTGGGGATGTTCAGCCTTATAAAGAGAAAGCTAAGAGGGGACCTCATCCCTGTCTGTCAGTGTCTGCAGGGAGGGCTCAGAGCAGGGACCAGGCTCTGCTCAGGTGCCCAGCAATGGGACAAGAGGAACGGGCAGGAACTGATGCCCAGGAAGTTCCTGGACATCAGGAATAATTTCTTTCCTGTGCAGTGACAAAGACCTGAACAGATTGCCCAGAGAGGGTGTGGAGTCTCCCTCCCTGCAGATATTCCAGAGCCATCTGCACACAATCCTGTGCCCTGTGCTCTGGGATGGCCCTGCTGGAGCAGGGAGGTGGCACCAGGTGACCCCACCAGGTGACCCCGCTGTGATCCCTTCCAACCTGAACCATTCTGAGATACTATTGGTGGTTTTCTGGTCACACATTTCAGAAAAAAAGTTAGAAATCAAACTGAATGGCTCTTTGCAAAAGCTAAAAAATGTTAAAATAACCCCTCAAAAACAAATCGCAAAGAAAAAAAAAAAAGGGGGGGGGGGAACAAAAACAACAATTCTGAGATACTATTGGTGGTTTTCTGGTCACACATTTCAGAAAAAAAGTTAGAAATCAAACTGAATGGCTCTTTGCAAAAGCTAAAAAATGTTAAAATAACCCCTCAAAAACAAATCTCAAAGAAAAAAAAAAAGGGGGGGGGGGAACAAAAACAACAACAAAAGCAACAAACAACAAAAAAATAAACCCACCAGAAAAACCCACAAGCTGATTAACAGAGAAAAAAACATGTACTAACCCAAAAGCAGTTTAAACTTTCACAGCCCAAATTTTCAGATAAATAAATTTCCTTATTCCATCACAAGCACCAATCTCACTTTTAGCACACTGGTTATCGTCATCTCGCAGCAAAATGAGTTCTACAGACAAGAAATAGCACAGTGCGTGTTCTTGTAGATTAATATGGAGGTTCAGGCTCTTATTTGTTTATTTGTCAAACAAATTGATGTAATAGTTTATCTTAGATACATGGCCATGGATTGTAGAACTGATGAGAAATTTCAACTTTCACAATTCTATGTGAAAGAAAAATTGTAGCATTTAAATGGTTAGGCCATGCACAGATTATTTGACTCATGAAATAAATTGAATTTGTCTAATGAGATCATTGAATGAAGCAGCAGAAAGGAGCCTGGTGGCAAAGGAGGGAAAGGTGAGGTTGAGATGCAACCAAAGAATTGGATGTGTTAAAACAGAAAGGAATAAACACATAAAGGAATTATGTGTTCACATGGACCTACAGAGGGATCTGGATCATGGAATTCCATCTCACTGATCTCTGTCTCCTGAATATATTATCAGGCAATTACATTAAATTGTTCACTATAGGACAAATACAAAACTGAAAATTGCAACAAATTCATTACCTTGGGGATGAAAACCGACCAAAATATACAATAAGAAAACATAAAAGGAACAAGAGAGAAAAGGTTAACTCCAGAGTTTGCCTAAGACAAAGCCCTTAGAAGTCAATGAAAGCAAAGGAGTCGAACAGGGGTTGCCAAGATACCCTTTTATTCTTAGCTCAAAGTCAAAGCTGATAAAAGACACAAGTGTAAGATCCAGGATTTAAAATTCATTGAAAAAGACTGCCCAGATAAACACGAGTACAGGCTGCCAAGGTTAAGTCTGACCTTGCAGAATTTATCTACTTAACCAAATCTCCACAAGTTTTGCTGAGGTCTCACTGCCATCACAAACCTGCTCTTCTGTTGGAGCCACATTGCTGACCCAGGCCTCATTTCCTAAAGTTAAATCTTTGTTATTAACAACACAGGCATCAGCCAGAATTCCAACAGTTGACTTCCAGCTTCCAGCACAACAGTTCATATTTAACACCTCAAGATATTTTCATCTGCACAATCAAAGCAGCCCCAGTGGGGGCCTCAGAGCTAACAAACACACAACCACCAGATGCTGTTTAAAAAAAACCAACAAACCAAAGCAAACCTAAAAACCTAATTTTTCACAGTTGACACCCTTATTTCACATTTCTGTAGCAACAGATTGAATATGATATAAACTGTTTCATACCAAAAACCTAAATGACAGTCAAATGAACCAGTTATTTCCCCAGGGAAAACTTTGGTCTTTTACACTCTCTGGATTGCCTCATGTGTAGCTGGGTACTCACAACTAGAACACAGTCTGATACTTAAAACCTACTGCTTAAAAAGACAATTGGTTTTTAAAAATGGCTTCTATCTGGAAGTTACTCATGCTTTTTCTCCCTACAGCACTCCACATCTTGCATACTAAAAGGAATTGTTTTCAATATATATGTCCTTTACAAATAAATGCAGGTGGGAGAATGTACGTAATCACAAAAAATAGCAAATGTTCATAAATAAGAATTATACTAATTAAAAATTAATCTGCATGAATTGCACATTTTACTTACAGCAGTTGCTTTATTCATATTTTAAGCTTTTTGTTTGATTATTATTGTGGAATTTTAATATTAAAAGTAATTATAAGCAGTTATTTAGAGTCTTAAATAATAGTTATTTCTGCAAACAACAAGAAGCAGCATAGAAATTTAAAGAAACATTTACTGATGCACAGAAGTTCCACAAGATGTAATACTCTCATAGCTGATGATTCATATTTATGATCAAGATAAAGTCAACAAAAGTGGAATGGGCACAGAAAAGTGAATTTCAATAAGAGTTATCTGTGATTTGCTGTCAAGCAAATGAGATGACTCAAGGTTCTGTCTGATAGACAATAACTTCAAAATCCTGATTAGCTGCCTCCATGATGAACTACAAAAACATTCATAATTTTACTGTATTTGGAAAAGATGGCAGTGTTCACAAACCTAATAAATGAGTGGAATTTATGAAGATCATTGAGATGAAATGACAAAAGTTCCAACTACCACCTTAAAAGAAATCAACAAATCTATAAATGGAAGTTGGGAATAATAATTCAGTCAGTTATGCTGGACCACATGCAAAAAAAAATAAAATCTATGAGACAATAGAATTAAAGAATAGTTCTCAGAGAAAACATCATCTCTGAAACCTGGAATGTCCAATTTTATTCTGTGAGAAATCTCACCTGCAGTATTGCCTCCAGCTTTGGATCCCACATATTGAGAAAAATAGACCTGTAGTGCAGGACAAAATCAACAATATGACTGAAAGAAAATGTGCTTTGAAAGAAATTTTCGCAATTAGGTTTAAATATGGGAAACAAACCCAGGAAGGAGCGCAAAATACAATTCAAAAAATGTAAGGAAACATTGCAAGTAGGACAGACTTCCTATACATCACAGATATTAAGGCTGAAGTAAGAAAAAAAATACTAGCTATTAGAAAAGTTAAATATGGAACATGATATTTAAGGTGGCACTGGAAGTCTGTCTCACTTTTTTAAAGGCTCTTAGGGCCAGGTTTAGAATATTTTCAAGAAAATTACCCCAAAATGTTATAGTCCCATTTCACTGAAATAGCAATTCTTTCACAGTACATTAGAAAATTCTCTGGCTGCAATCAAACCTGGGGATAGCAGAAGATGGATGAAGGAAAGAGTTTAGTTTTCAGAAGTCATTCTCTGACCCAGCCCTCTGCCCAGCTGCACAAATCACAGAATAATTTATATTGAAAGGCAATTCCAGTCACTGTCCAGCCCTGTGCTCAAAGCATGGAAAGAAAATACTAAAATTGCACCAGGCTGTTCAAGGCATTGTCCAGAATTTTTTAACATCTTCAAAGACAGCAATTTTACAGCACTTTTGGACAACCTGTTCCAGTATCTGAGCACCCTCATTGTGAAAAGAAATTTTCCTAGTACCTAACTGGAATTTAACAATCTCCTCATGACACACCTTGCTCCAAGGGTCAGATGAACTTTGTTGACTGCTGTAACTCCCAGGCTTTGAGGAGGCTGCTCCTGGAGTCCCAGAAACTTCACTGGGACCAGATCCAGCATCCCTTCCAATCCTGTCTTCCCCAAAGTCTCCTCTGCTCAAGTCCAGAGTCTCTATCCTGCCATGTGCCTTCCTCACTTCCCTCAGGATATTGAGCTCCATCATCTCAGGACAGCTGCAGCCAAACTTCAAACCCTCCAGCTGGATCATTTGTTCAGGGAGCAGATCTCACAGAGCACCTACCAAATCAAACCATCCAACACCTGTACACAAAAACTGCCCTGAAAGCATTTCAGAAATAAGCTCACCTGCAACTGGAAGATTTCTTCCAGTCCTTAAAGAAAAGCTCATCCAGCTTTGCTTCTGGTTTGGGTGGTCTGTAACAAACACACAGCACCTCACTGCGTTGGACAACTCTGCCCTTGGTCAAAAAGCTTTCAACTGTCTCATCCCTCCTTTCCTAATAATTCCCTGTGCACAGTCAAATTTCTCCTCCACATGCTTTTGCAAGTCCTGTATTGGATTTGCGGGGTTCCCAGACGAAGGAAGGGATGATGAATCTGACTCCGTGTTCTCAGAAAGCTAATTTATTATTTTATGATCCTATATTATATTAAAGAATACTAAATTACACTATACTAAAGAATACAGCAAGGATACTTACACAATGCTAAAAAGAAAATAATAAAAACTTGTGACTCTCCCTAGAGCCCTAATACAGCCTCACTCTAACTGGACAATAAGTCAAAACAATTCACATGAAACCAATGAAACAACCACCTGTTGGATAAACAATCTCCAACCACACTCTAAAGCAGCAAAACACAAAAGAAGCAAAGAAAATAATATTGTTTTCTTTTTTTTTTTCTCTGAGGCTTCTCAGCTTCCCACAAGAAAAATCCTGAGTAAAGGGATTTTTCAAAAAATGTACATGTCACAGTCCTGGTATAAGTGTCTGGCGTGGGCCTTGGGTCGCACCTCGGGGCAGATGCTGTGACATTAACTCACCTCAGCCCATTACTTTCCTATGACATGCACACAGTCAGGACAGAAAAGTTACCTGGGGAGCTCTAAGTAGTTCAGAGATGATGGATAACAAAGGGATCACTTGGCATTACCATTCAAGAGATTTGCAAAAATGCCTGCTCTAGGAGGAAATATCAGTAATTTTACCCCTTTGTAATTTTGCAAATGCTTTTCCTCTCCTGGCTGCACTGAGGCTGACTCCTGAAGGAAAACAAGGCTGAAGCAGCTGAACTATCCATCCATTTCTCTGCCTGTCTGTCCATCAGTATAAACTCTCCTGACCTGCATCCAATTACTCTGATGGGAGAAAAATAACTCAGAAATCAAGTTTCTTACACTTAGCAGAATGGAGAGAAGATTTTTTTTTTAATTGACTGGTTCACATCTAAATATTGCTGCAAGAAATAAAAGGATGAAGCCAGAGATGTTCAGATAGGACATAAGGAAGAATTTCTTTATGGAAAGGGTTGTCAAGCACTGGAAGGGACTGCCCAAGGAGGTGGTCAAGGGGGTCACCATCGCTGGAGGTGTTCAAGAAAGGACTCAGTGTGGTACTCAGTGCTGTGGTTTAGTTGGTGGTATTTGGTTCAAGTTTGGACTTGATTTTGGAGGTATTTTTGGGTCTTTTCCAACATTAATGATTCTACAATGCTATGGGAAAGACTAACTCCAGTTGGGACATGACACCTGGAAAAGAATGTACAAGTTTCTTCAAGGATTTTCAAGTACATGTGAAACATGCTGCCTTTTATTAATTAGATTAGTTTTAGTTCCTGGAACAGAGAGAAAAATCCTAACAAGTATTAAAAATACAGAAACTAATGGTTGCACTGAATTCAACACACAGAACCCACACAGTGTTCTACTGGTGTCTAAGGCACTGACTGTCCTGTCTAGGATCAAAACTGGGGTTAAATCCAGAACACAGAATAGATGTAAACAGTGTTGCACAGCAACTGGAATGAGTGAGGATGAATTTTTACACCTTGACAAAATGATTACAACTATACACTCAATTCCAGTGTAAGAATTCATCTATGCTATCACAGAATATCTGTACCTTCCCATAACACAGACATTTTCTAAGTGAGTTCTGGTTCAATATTGACATTTTTTGCATAAAAGGAGCTCTCTGAAATGTTGCTTGGGGAATCTGGACTGACCCAGGTATTAGGAATCTCATTTATGTCTCCAGTCTTGCCTTTGACAAATCCTGATCTGATTTAATCATCACAGGATGGTTAAGGTTGTAAGGGACCACTGGAGGTCATCTTGTCCACTCCATGTTCAAGCAGGGTCCCCAGAGCACAGGATTGTGTCCAGGACAGCTCTTGAATATCTCCAGGGAAGGAGAATCCAGAGCCTCTCTGGGCAACCTGTGCCCGTGCTCAGGCACCCTCACAGTAGAGAAGCTCTTCCTCACAATAATTAGTAATGAAACATCATTTCAGATCACTGGATAAAAGTACAATTAAAAGTACAAACAGGTCAAGCATGATTTGATTGCCATTCTTCTCTCATCTTCTGCCACCCCCTATCATGTGAATTCGAGGATGATCTGAGTGAAAAATATAAATCTCCAGGGAAGTGCTGAGTACCATCACATGGCTTGGGGGACTGTTTACTGTACAGAATGTTTCCTGAAGAAAATCATGAGAAAGTGTATTTTTGACAAGCCAAGCACAAGATTTTTTTATAGAAATCACGAAATTTATAGCAACACCACTGGTTTATTTTAACTCTAAACTGAATGCTATTTCTTATTAATAATCATAAGGCAATATTTTACTGCATTTAGAATTATTGTGGGGATTTTATGTTTAGAATGACTAAGTCATCACACAAGTCCTGTCTAAGCCTTAAAAAGCTACCTAAGATTAGATACATTACTAAATCTATAGAGAAGACTTGGAAATAAATTATTCTAATATGTTCTAATTTACCCAAATTTAATTAAATATATGCAAACTCTCTAAATGCAGCTTCATTAATTTCTTCATGATTCAGTTACTCGGTGTGGGGGAGAATAGAAAAATTTGACCCCATGAATCTACTACTCAGCAATCCTAACTACACTTCCTCAGTTCCCTAAAAGCTGGGAAAAACACACAGGATTTATGACATGCCCAGTGACTCAGAAAAAGCCATTATAGGATGACCCAAGCATCGCCTAAATAATATACAGCACAATTAACCTTAAACAGTCTATAATTATGATAAGCTTCATAGTTCTAATTACTTTTCAGTAACACTGCCACGAAGTGAGTTGAATTATAAAATAAAATGTACCAGAGGGCATCTATTTATAAATTTAAAAGTAAGTATTTATGAAAGGATATAATTTTCCAGCAAATATCCAGCTTGCTGTTAATCTCCAGGCCTCTTGCTTGTTGCCTTTCTTCTTCCAGCTGCTTTGCATTCGCCAACTGTGCCCCGTCAGTTGGGGATTCTGGGAAGCTCTCAAAATTGAACTTGTCCACTTGGATTGCCATGCTGTAGCAAAGGAAAAGAAAGAAAAAAGCCAACAACATAATTCTTGCTGCTATTATTTCTGCAGAAACTGAAGACTACTGTGAACACAGGCACTACAATATCAATATATTGGTTCCAGTGGCTGCCAGTCTGTAATTAATGACCTATAAACCATATGGTTTATGCTACTAAAAACAGAAGTCTAAGCCTGTTGATGGTAAAAATATTTTACAAATCATCAATCAACATCTTAATGACTTGGTGAGTGGTGCAAAAGAAAATTATTTCACAGTTGCAAGCAGGTGACCTCACTGAGGTTCTGCAGAGGTTCACCTGCCTCCTGCAGAGGCTCACCTGCCTCCACTCTTGGTACGTGCTCGAGACTTGCTGAAAAAAGCAACAAGACTGGGCCAAAAGCTGAGGAATATTCTATTTAAAGTCGTTTATTAATACAACCCATACAAAAGGAAAGCAGAATATTATATATGAAAATGTCTCCTGAAGTGAACTGTAACACACTTGGAGAGCCCATTGGTTTCACAAGGCAACTTCCTCACTTTTCCTTGCAAAACTCAGGACGGAAAAACAAAATAACTACAGAAGCAGGGCCTTAATGTGGCCCTTGACTTTTTTTTTTACAAAGACACTTCTCCCCTGCATTGTGCATCTTCATGAATTACAGACCATATTAATTTCAATATCACAGTAAAATTCATTGGTAGCAAATGGTTAAATAATTGCTTTATTAAATGTACGGTAAGGCATAAAAGGTAATCAAATTAAATATAGTACACTATAATGCATACTAAATACTGATATGTTAAATTAGAATCACTAATCTAATATAAAAGGGAATTTAGACCAGCTCACATCACATGAAATGTGGTTATGGAAGATCTAATATACTATGCTGCCAAAACAGCTTTAATTTCCTGAATTGTCTGAAATAGAAAAATAATTAGGGAAGAATTAAAATATATTGCTCTTGAGATGACTTTGCACTTAAGGAGACTAAACAACAGCTTTGAAAACCATTCAGGATGAAATGCAACTATAAACCGAGAAGCAGTCTGGGAAGGAAATTTCACAAAAACACAGGATTACTATTATCCTTTTATCTATTTCTCCATATAAAAAGGAAAACATATTCCATTAATTTTGCCAAAAGGAAAACATCAATAACAAATGTCAACAAGAAAGAGCTTTGAAATCCCTCCAGACCTGAAAATATTTTCTATATTTCTCATTAATTTAAAAGAATCTTGACCCCAAAAGAAACTGGGTGAAAATAGATGGCAATTACAAGGAATTACCTAGGGCTTGTGAAGTTTGCAGGGGGAAGATGAATTCAAACAGGCATTATCAACACTGAGCAAAAACTGACATCTGAGGAGAAGCTTCTGAAGTTTCCCCTTTACCATTCTGGCGGAAGGCTTCCATGCCCATGGTAGGGGGGTGGAACTAAATGGCCTTTAAGGTCCCTTCCAACCCAAAGCATTCTGTGATTTTATGACAAAAAAGTTCAAATACAGCACACAGGCAAAGTTTCGATAAGCTCCCACTTCTGCAGCCTGCATCTTTGCTGATCCTCACATCCCAAAGGCGGAGGAATTAATCTGTTCCTCTCTAAGGGGGGTTTTGTTTTGGCTATTTTTAATGCAGTAAGAGATCATTAGAAGTTCTTCATTTGCATGCCAAATCCGTCAAGTGCTGGGCATATTCAAAAGCTAAAGATGAGTTATAGAAGTGGATCACAGTAACTGCCAGAATCAAGCCAGAAATAAAGACCATAATGAAAAACACCCAGATACAATCTGAAAAGTGGATTCTGGAAAAAAATTACCAGGCCTGAAACTATGACTAACAACATCAATTCTTACTGGCATTGAAGTATGATTTGATTCTGAAGTGGTAGGATGGGTTTCCTGGATTTTGCACAGGCAATGCACATGGAAGACACAACTGGAATATTTTGAATTTCACAGTCGTTGTTTCCGAGATCACTCCACCCCTCTGTGGTATGTGAGCAGATGCAAACCCAGTACTTCATTTCTATGATATACACAATAATGTTGATATTTTCATAGAAATATGGTTCATTTCCTATAACCATATTCTAACAAATTGCTTTTGCGTCTGGACAGTCAGAAGTATTTAGAATCCATCTCTGAAGGAACCAGGAAAACAGCTCCCATCTAATTAGTGTTGCACTTTTCTAAGTGATTGACATTTGAGAAATATATTCCTGCCTAACAGTATTTAATATGCAACTGCAGCATTCAGATTGCATTCCTCTGTTGCAGGATCATTGCTGGCATTATGGTCAGTATAGCAATTTTTGTCTGGAAATTAAATATGCATGTAAGCACTTTGTACCCCAACAGCCTCTAATAAATCCACATCAGCTTTAGGAACACAGCCTAGATTGCTCTTAACTCTGCATTGTGCATTTCTGCTTGAAGTAACTTTTATTAAACTCTAAGTTATGGCAAACTTTAGTAAACAGGGCTCTCAGTACTCAGAGACTACTAAGTTTTCTAATCTTCTAACTATGTTTTTATTTATAATGTTTATACTGTATTTAGCACAGTGGCACCTCATGTCACATGAGAAGCTACAAAACACCCCCAGCGACTCACTTGCCAGCTAGAAAGTGAAGAGTCTGAGTAAAAGAGAACTACAGAGAGAAAAACATCCCACAAAACAGTACTATGAACACAGCTCTAGGTAGGATATATGAAAGCAATAAACAGAGATAAAATAAAATGTTTCAAGACTATAATTCCTCTCAAAGCAAAGCACAACAGAATTAAATCCTTACTCTTTCTCTTAAACGTTTCTGCCTTTTATCACGTGTATTCTGCTTCCTCTTGTGCTAAAAATATTCATTTCAAGTTTTGTCTCTGCATTTTTTATCTGTAATATTGCTTCAGTATTTTTTCCTCAGCCTATGGAACATGTAGTACATGGGAAGGCTTTGCACAAGAATCAAAACAGAAAATAAATACCATAACCTAAATCAGTCATTCATCCTGAGAAATGTACCCCTACTCAAATCCAGCTTCTTCACTTCCTTTTTAAATACAAAGATTTCTCCCATCTCAAGAGATGCATTTCACCAGGGAGGTGTTAACATGTGGACGAACAATCCCCAGAGCCAGGTGATGGAATGAGAAAACAGACGAGCTGGACAATGAATTATTACAACCACCAGATGAAAAAAGGATCTTTTTCAACTTTTAAGTGATCTCTAGAGATCACATGGACCTCGCCCTGAAGAAGCAGAGGGCAGTGAAAGGCAACCTTTTGAACATCACCAACTTTGTCACTGGGCTGAGCATCAGAACAATGAGACTGAAATGTATTTCAGCCAAAGAAGTCATTCTCTGCTGTCTTCTGCAGTTACTTTGTGACCTGTTTCCTGTCAAGAGTTCTCTGCACCTCTCCCCAGATTTGTCCTTTCTTGTTGTGATATACAAGAATCTATGGATCTATAAAGAAAAAAGGTAAAAATAGACAATTCAGTCTGAAACAGGCATTCAATTTGTTGCAAACAGCCAGGATAATGATGGCTCACATTGTGCAAGGGCACCTGTTCCTTGCCCTTCACAGTAATTACATATCAGGGAAAACAGAGACGATCTTAAAACTCAGAAGTTCAGAAATAAACTTGTTCCAGGAAAAGGGACTAGAGTTCCATTTTAACTTCTCTGCCTCATGGGGAGCTATCCAAATTTCCTACTAGATGAGTTTTCAATAAATAATGAGATATTTGTATAAAAACACTGCATTATGAAAAAAAAAAAAAAAAAAAAAAAAAAATCATCCAATCCTGCAAATGCAAAACAGGTTTTGTTTCTCTCTGGCCAAACTTGTCTGAGCAGGAGGAGGAATAAAGCAACAACAGTTTTCATGAATAATGAAACAACCATGTTTTGAAACTGCTGGGTTTTGTCACGAAAACAGCCCAAGCTGTTGTGACAGCTCCTCAAACAACTGAGCATCGTTACAGGGATGCAAATTATTCAAATACAAATGAAATGGATGAAGAGGAGAAGGTCAGCTCATTGGCAATGCTGATGATGTGTCTGCACGGTATCATCTCACGTCATCTGTCAGGATGGCTTACAGGGAAAAAAGTGACAAACCTCCTGATGGCACAGCCGACATCTCAATGACAGTCACCTAAAGTCCCATTAAAGTCACAGTGCAGAGCTGCTAAAGGCACTGGACAGCTCATTTCACCTCTTCTCAGAAAAAGAGCTGCAACTTTACTGGAAATCCTACCCTGCCCTGACAACAAAACGCTCAGCAGAAAGGATTTGCAGGGAGGAAAACAACTTCCTGCAAATGACATCACGACTGCTTCCGAGCCAGTGGCTTCCAAATCCCCCTTTCCCAAAGCATTGCCAGCTAAAACCAAGCAGCACTGACAGCTTCACAGAAATGGCAACTGGCAGAGAAAATTCATAGGTGAAAAACTGAGTAAAGCAGCATCACTGGGCGTGCTGCAAACTCCTGCCCTTGTTCATGGGAGGACGGTGGGCAGGTCCCAGGCACATCCCATCCACCAGTGATGCACCTCAGATCTTTCCATGTCCTCCTCTGAATCTACAAAGTGAAATTAATTATGTGATACTCTCCAAATAAAACAAGGTTAAGAGCAGGCATGGTATTAAAAGAAAAGCAGCAATCTGGTCAACATAAGTGGATTTCATCTTTCATTAAGTAAATAAAACAGTGCTGCTTAGCTTGGAAGAATAAAATATAGAGATAGTCCTTATTTAATTATCCTTAGGAAAAAAACAATATAACAGGAACCCAAAAACTCTTCCTCATGGCTAACTACCTATTTAAATACTGTCATCCACAGAGGAGTTTGCAAGCTGCTTCCAAAATGAAGCTGACAGGAGGCAGTTGGAGACTTTATTCAATATTATGTTTCCTGTTCATCCTCCTTTCTTATATAAAGTAGACAGTAGGGATACTATGCCAGACCACGTTACTGCACTTATGCAGAA